TTCCTAGGCGCGGGACAGCACAGGGCGGTGGCTCTGGAGACGACCTCGGCTTTCCTAGGCGCGGGACAGCACAGGGCTGTGGCTCTGGGGACGACCTCGGCTTTCCTAGGCGCAGGACAGCACAGGGCTGTGGCTCTGGAGACCACATCTGCTTTCCTAGGTGCGGGACAGCACAGGGCGGTGGCTGTGGGGGAGCCTGGGCCAGCCTCTAGCACTCCCCTGGCTCCCAAGCAGGGCAGCAACATAGAGGCAGCCAGGGATTGTGGCTTTCACCTCTGAAAAGCAAACTCCTACCTAACTGGGCAGAGAGGACAACTGCCCGGGTCCACAGGGAGGCTGGTCTCCCCACCAGGTGCTGTGGGGAGGCTGGGGACCAGAAGAGATGTGAGGAGTGCCTGCTGGTGCCAGGCACTGTCCTGGAACATGTGGTGTCCCTGTTGTTTAATTTTATTCTAAGTTAAAAGAGACACGTCGACCACTCTCGTTAATGAAGAAATAAGAGCAGACCTCTAGACGGGACGTGCTGTGGAACTCTCTCTCTCCGTGGCCCCAGCTCCCTGGCCTATAGGGTTTTCGTGCCTTATCAGCTGCAGAGGAAGTTGATGGAGGACGGCAGAGCATCTTTAACGACCATGAAGCCCCTCGGTGGTCTGGAGACGGATATTCTGTCAGGGGTCCCTCAGAAATGCTGCTGGGTTTCAGTGAGACTGAAGCCATCCCCACTCCTGTGGTGATGAATGCTGTGTGAGTTGTGGGTCCTTGAGAGTTTGGGGGATAAAAATAAGGATTTTCTTTGTTTCTCAAAGGAAAGAAGACAGCGAAGACTGCGGCACGCAGGAACTATCCGGCCTGCCCGGCCTCCCGCAGCATTTCTGTGATGTCTTCTCAGCATCCTGTCGCCGAAATATTGACATACACTTAGCTCTTTATAATGAAAAGACTTGTTTTTATCTTCTCTTCGTAGGGTGGGAAAGGGAGTGGGGGTGGGAGATTAGGCTTGGTTTGTCCTTCCTGGATGCCATGTTAGCCAGGGGTCAGAAGCCTGGGTCTCTTACTAATCTTGACAATAAACTATTTCTAACCGTAAGAGAAGTGGAAATACTGACTTCAGATTTGCAGTGAAAGAGCCTCTTTCACCCGCCATCTCCTGGACCTGCACTGGCTATGGGCTGCTACTGCCTCCTGCCCCGCTGAGGGCCTTGTTCTACTGGGAAATAAACCCCAGTTTATGCTTTGTGTTTCTGTGTGTGTAAATAAGATGAAGGAAAGCACAGGCAGAAGAGGAAAGGCAAAACCCTCCATTCTCAAATCTAAATTATATAATGTCCTCCAAGTTTTTAGAATGACAGTAGTCATTGCCAAAAGTGTGGTGTGGTGAGATTAGAGAAGCACTGGTTGATAGAACACTTAAAGGACACAGAAGCAGACACATCTCACTACAGGACCCCCTACAAACTGGTACAAGTAAGGTCTCTCTTGTGCAGTTAAGAAAGTGAGGCTCTTTGCCTAAGTCCCAGAGCAGTGGCAGAGCAGCAGGTCCCCATCCCCAGCTGTCCCTCCCATCCATATGTGGGCCAGCCAGCCAGGCCACACCAGCTTGCCCGGCCTTTCTGCCTCAGGAAGCTGGCGCCCATCTTCACAAAGCTCACAGCAGAAGACACCTCTGCTGGTGTGTGGACCTGGTCAATGGCACATTTGGGTGGCTGTGAGTTGGAAGAGAGATGAGGGATGGATGCATCCAAGGGGTAGTTTGTGTTCCCCACAGCTGGGTGCACAGTTTCTTCTAGCGGCTTCCCCTGGCACGTGATGGTGAGCGGGCGTCTTTGAGCTGGTCACTTGTTCTCTCTGTTGGGGAGGTGTGTAGGGCTGCTCTTCCTTGTATGATCTGTTGTTAATTTCTGTTGGCTGTACAGGGAAGCACATTTTGTTGAAAGTGGCAAGATTCTGCAGCCCCAGCCTCCTTCCCTTTTGCTCTGAGGGGAGAGGCCCTTCCCCAGAGGCATGCCGCTTCAGGACTTCAAAGGGCCTGCCTGCCTGTGAGCCCAGGGCTGCCCCGCAGACTTTTGAGTTAACACCACTCTCAGAGGGCTCTGTGGCCTGGGGGAAGGATTCGTTCCAAAAGATTTGTTTCTCTCGGTCACTCTTTAACTGTTTGCATGTAAACCTATTTAGAGTAGATTAAAGGAGAGATCAGCTAGGTCAGTGGGAAGTGATATCATTTACAGGGGCCCTAGCCAAAATGTTGATGTTGCTTACATTTTATTTTGCTGCAAATATATTACTATAGAGTATCTCCCTCTTTCACAGTAAATAGAAACAAGGCGTGACAGAAGGAGGCCCTTCTAAAATGCACATAATCACTTCCGTGTATGCCTGATGTTGATCCAGTAATGGAGTACAGAGTGGTCGGCTGCTTGCTTGGTATAACTGAGAGAGCTTTGGTGCAGTAGAAAAAGGCAGGGGACTGGGTTCTGAGAAACAAATGGTAGGTGAATCTTCTTGTAGAGAACGTGTCTGCAGCGCCAAGAATGCCACCTGCTCTGGGATGCAGGGAATACCTCGAGCAGCTGCCTCTAGGCCTTGGTGTCCAGAGGGCTGGCATCAGACTCTTCCACTGTGTCTGGAGATTCGAAGGAGGCGGGGGGTGGGGGGTTCCTTCCAAATTCCTACCGGTAAACCTTTAATAAAATGTATCTTTTAAAAGAATGGCATTCACCTTTAGCTTGTCTGTTTTCAATACATTGTGCAAAACTACGCGCATGTGGATACGCACTAGGAACTGCCCTCTTCAGGGGTGTCCTGGGCTCACTCCTTCCCCAGACTCTCAGAAGGGGTGCTCTGCCTTTTCCGGGGAATTAGAGAGCAGTCTCTCCGCCTCTTACTGTGTTTATTGTTACAAATCAGCAGCGCTGAGCCAAATCCACTGCCGCAGGAACTTAAGGAGTGGTGGTTTGAAAGGGAACCTCACTCACAGCATCCTGCAGGAAGGAGCACCTGCAGCCTGCTCGGGATGTGCGTTGAATTTCCTAGTTACGCTTTGCATGTAATATCTATCATCTTGCAAAATCGTGTACAAAATAGTAAAACACCCATCTGAACACCTACTTTTCCCTCTAAAGTTGACTGACAGCCCTAATTAGGACTGTGGTTTCTTTCTTTAAAAAATAAACTGGCCAGGCACAGTGGCTCACACCTGTAATCCCAGCACTTTGGAGGCCAAGACGGGCAGATCATGAGGTCAGGAGTTCAAGACCAGCCTGGCCAACATGGTGAAGCGTCATCTCTACAAAAAATACAAAAATTAACTGGGCTTGATGGCAGGCGCCTATAGTCCCAGCTACTCAGGAGGCTGAGGCAGGAGAATCGCTTGAACCTGGGAGGCAGAGGTTGCAGTGAGGCAACATTGTGCCATTGCACTCTAGCCTGGGTGACTAGAGTGAGACTCTGCCTCAAAAAATAAATAATAAACTAAAAGAAAATGTAAAACTAATCATGTCAACAGTGCCAGTCCACTTGAGAGCACAGCTTTCTGGAATACAGGCTGCCTGTCACTGGGCCTGGGGGGCTGCGAGGTCTGCCCGCTTGTTGCTCATAGGCTCTCTCCTGTTCCTCCAGGTTCGTCATCGGTGGTGTGAACTCATCGTTAAACACAAGTTCACGAAAGCCTACAACAGCGTGGAGAGGTTCCTTCAGGAGGACCAGGTAGGTGTGTCCTCTTTCAGCGAATGGGGATTCTGTAAAGGCTGTCCCCTGCACTTCACATGGGATCCCACGTTCTCAGTATCTCTTTCATAACAAATAATTAATCTGTTCCAGAGATTCTTAAGGACTGGTAGGATCTTACCCAACTCTGGTACTTCTGAGCTGCTTTTTTCCTCTCTCAGCGTCTTTGAAGGATTGAGCTGGGGACCTTCAATGCTGCCTTGTGGTCCACACATCATCCGATGGTGTGTGCTCACACTTCGTGGTGTCTCCAGCACCTGCTAGGCCACGCTTGTGCCTTGGTGATGCCGTGGGGTAGATCCCTGATTTCAGTGGCCCTCATTTAAAGTATATGTGCAAGTTAGACTGGAAAAGCCCCAACAGGACAGTCTCCGTCTTTACCTGCACCCGCGGTGTTGTGCTGGGAGGCTCTCACTGTTCACCAGGGACAGCAGTCGCCTTCCTAGGAGCCCACAGGTGGCGTGCCTGCAGGAGCGGATCTGAGGAGACCTTCATCGGCCACCTCTGATGTCGCAGTATGTGTCAGGGTCACTAGTCAGGTGTGTCCTGTGACACGTCATGGCCTCCCACACCCATCCCCTACCCCCACTCCCACCCCCTACCCCCTCTGCCTCTGAACAAGCGGCCTGCCAAGCACTGTGGGTGACAGCATGGAGCTGTGTTCCAGCTGGGGTGGACAGTGGGAGTGAGGCAAACAAAAGGACTTTTGTCAGGGTCTCTGTGTGGGGGACAGCCAGCCAGTGAGGCCTGAGGCCTCGTTATTCCCACAAAGCAAAGTACATGCCTTTGTACCAGAAGAAATGTCACATTTGCACAGCAGAGCAAGAGGCGTCTGGAAAAACATACAGGAGTATAAGAAGGACAGAATTTAGGAGCAACTCTAAGGTCTGTTGTAAAGACCAGAATTCACTGCAGTATATTTAGAATCATGATACTTTGTCAAATAAGGATCACCGTGTCTGGGCTTTTTTGGGAAAGCACTTTTGAACCCTTAACTATGAAATTGTGGTCTTGTGCTGTCTTTGAGACCCTTCTTTTAGTTTGCTCCAGCAAAACGTAACTCACGGCGTTAACTAAGCCTGGTACAAGAGAGCAGGCAGATCCAGAAGGGCCCTTGGATCTTCCAGAACATCCTTGGCTGTTTTAAAAATATAGGAAAAGTGCAGATGTGAGTCTTTGTGGCATTGTTCCCAAGCAGCAGACCTGGTGTGGACTGTCGTGCAGGGCTGTGGAGGACAGCACAGGCGGGGTGGGCGGCTCTGCGGGTGTCGTGATGCGCCCTGCTGCGGCTGCTGCGTGCTGTGCCCTTCATTTTCCTGGCAGGGTGTGGCCGGGTGAGCTCAGACCAGCGACTCTAGGGACTTACTTTTCTGGACAGGAGCCCTGCATCTCTGCAGTGCCACACAAGCCTTCTGCGTGGTCATCCTGGGAACTGTCTGTCTGTTCAGAGCATTCCTGACACGCCCAGCACGATGGGAATGCTCACTCATCGTTCTGTCACCGGTGAAATCATCAGAATCTGTGGAGAGAACTGGGAGCTGAGGATTCCTTGGGGTTTTGATGAGAACAAGGAGGAGACGGGGATTGCAGACTGCAGCTTCCAGAAGCACGGTCACCCCATGGCCTCTCTTTTCTCTGGGGTTTTTGCAGTTTCCAGACAAGCAAGTGTGTGTGGAACAAGCACAGACTGAGCTCGTGTGCATGGGTGTCCGAGCCTTAGCCTGATGCCCTCTGGCCTCTGTGCCCTGCAGGCCATGGGCGTGTACCTCTACGGGGAGCTGATGGTGAGTGAGGACGCCAGACAGCAGCAGCTTGCCCGCAGGTGCTTCGAGCGGACCAAGGAGCAGATGGATAGGTCCTCAGCCCAAGTGGTGGCCGAAATGTTATTTTAACGAGGTGATTGTCTCCCTTTCCTTTCTGTCATTTAGTTCTAACCAGATACTCCTCTTAGGAGCCAACTAAATAAGCCGAATAGTGAGCCAAGACCACCTGCAGCATCAATAGCTCCGTGACGGGGGCCTGGAGAGCAGGCTGAGTAGGTACTGGACTGGTATGGGAGCCCAAGGTCCCTGGAGCACCATGTCTGGTTGGGGCGGTCACCAGGAAGCAGAGGCTGTCCGCCTGAAGGAGCAGTGGCACTCCTTGAGACAATTTTGGCCACTTCAGGTTTTATAATCTGTAGGAAAAAAAATTGTGGGAGAACATCTTGAGTAGCTTTAGAGATGAATGGGAAGCCTGGCAGAAGCGCTGGTCCAGTCCTCAAGGTCACGGCTGACACGGGAGTTTCAGTGGCCGTGTGACTCCAGAGCCTAGGTTGTGCAAGCAGTTGTTTTCTTGCAGCCCTGTGTGAACTGGAGGTTCCTTGGGCTGTCCATGCCTGATCACCGGCTGACAGGAGGCTCTCCGGGCACACACAGCACACGTAGCACACATGGCGCGCACACTGCACGCAGCACATGTACCACACTCCAAGACCCTGTGTCTTGAGGGCAGGTCCTACTTTTTGCTTTGTTGTGTTGGCAGAATTTCTCCCCGGTTTATATTGGAGTGAGTCCTAAATTATTTAAATCACTTCCTCTGTTAATTGTGCCTGGAATCAACCTGTTAGATTTTACTTCGTAGCAGTGAATTGCTAAATACGGGTTTCTGCACTATTAAAGTAACCTACAGTAGTACATCTAGTTTTGTTAGGACAGCTGTGGGATCATGTTTTTTCTCTAACAATCATCATTTCTGTTTTCTCCATTTTACTTCAATGTTTTATGTAATATAATAGGGGATGTCTAATTTTGTATCTTTTCAAAAAAATACCAGATCTCAAGCATTTTTCATGTTATAGCTTCAATTGAATTTTTCATGGATATTGAATATCTGGTGTTGATACTCTTCACTCATTTTTGGACATTGAGTTTGCTTCTAATGTTTTATGCTTATGAAAACTATTTCTGTGTAATATGTTCAAGTAGCTTATTTCTGGGAAAGAACTTAATGAAATAAAAAGTTTTTTCTAAGCATGATCATATTATTCCAGAAGAGTCAGGAACCCTGTGTGCCAGGAAAGGGAAACGTGGGTGGGGAGGGGGATGAAGTACTACTGGACGTCTCGTAGCGAATCGGCTGCTGCAGACGTGACCCGGCTCCCCCCTCCCACGCCCCAGGGATGGGCCGGAGGCGCAGACCGC